CAGTCATTAGTTAGTGTTTCCCTTGTAGTGGCATCAGCTCAATGACAGGACATTAAGACATTGGTCAACTCTTAGTTCATAGTCAGCCAACCATGGGTGGAATATTGGCCAACCATTGACCAACTATTGACCAACTAACAGCAGACCTTCAATCAACTTCAAACCATTATATTAACAAAGAGTACATATTTTACCTGTAAGTCTTCGCTGTTTTCAATAAAAAATTGTGGCAGTTTTGTCAACTGTATCACTCTGCAAAAGGAGAAAGGTAAATTAGTTTTCACTTTTTGAATTTTTAAATTTCCATGAAGGTAGATTCCATTAAAAAATGATTATTCCTTAAAGTTAAGACAAGAAATAGTTTTTAACATAGTGAATGGTAGAACACTTTTCCTGCCTTCTTTGCAAGTCCCTTAACACTAGATCGGTGCTGCCTGTTACTCTCAGCCAAGTCTGCTTACTGAGTCTTGTCCTTTCTCGTGGATGATTGTCTTCTAGGTATCTCATGTATTTGTCAAATGCCACATGATTGCCCTTGAGGCATTCTTTTTCACTGATCAAACCTTGAAAGATAAAGCCTGCATATGAGACTGACTTACTCACCCATTGAAGTTTCCAGTTTCCAAAGCATTAATAGGAGTATTGCTACTTCTCCTAGTTGGCTCGTCAAACCATTGCTGGTTATCCCCCCTCCCCCCACTGTAAGTTTTCTGGTAACCACTAATACCCCTAGGCAGGGAGAGGCATATTTCTCCTAGCTGCAAAGTGAAACCTGTGTGGGTCATTTTGCCTGAGACCTTGACACAACAGCTCAACCATGGCTTAATAAATAATTCCAAAAAACAAAGAATTATAATATGTATCTGATCTTGCCTGACTTTGAACAGCCACAGGATGCACTCTGGAAGACCTGCCAAGCCTTGACATAATGGCCATTCATCATCATAACAGATCAATGGATAGCATACTTAAGTCATCAGTGTGTCCAAGCTTGATCTTCATAATATATATGATACTGTGTAATGTAATGTATTCTATACAGTGCATTTTCTCACAGTTACAAATAAAAGAAACCTTTAAAGGCTTCCTGGAAATTTGATTGTGACCAACTTGAGCACCTCAGAGCCACTTGACGACGTATTTGTTTGTTTAATTAGTACAATAATGACCAAACCAAAATATGAGCATGTGAACTTAGCTTACCATCACTGTCTCTATCAAAGTTTATTTTTTGCAACCTGATTAAAAAAAAATTTCAAAAATTAGGACTTTCATTTAGGGATGACTTGGCCTGTTCTAGGCACTCAATTTGTGTGTAAAAGCCCACAGCAGTAAAATAATAGTTAAAGAGGAACTGAACACATGAACTTACATCATGTCCACATCGGCATCACTTACTGACATTGAAAACTCCTGTTTTATGAAGGTGGAAAACTAAAAAGTGAGACCATGTTTCTTGTTAACTAGTGTCAATTATTTATCCATATTAACCAAAATTTCAGTACAAATCTATTTAGGTACTATTTCAGTAATAATTCAATAAATAATAATAATAATAATAATTCAATTGTGATCCACCCATTGGCCAATCAAAATATGACTTCACATAATTTTAAAATAGTATCAATTTTCACCAGGCAGGTAATGAGAACTTATCACAATGCACAAATGAATAAAGAAATGTAGATTATTATGATATTACACCAGTTTCTCAAAACTAGTCAACAGAGGAATTTAAAGTACTGTTATCATTTATGAAAATAAGATTTGAGATCTAAGAAGTGAAAGAGGTATATTAGCTCTGATTTTGACTTACCTCAACTGTGGAGATCTTGCCATCACTATCTCTGTCATTGGAAAGTAAATCCTTACAATTTTCATTCTTTTCCTCATCACTATAAGCTAAAAGGTTAGTAAAGAGGCCACTTATCAGATAATCTGGTCTTGAAACTGTAACTACAATGTGGTCATAATCCTCTCTAGGATAACAGGAGTAAAATTACAATTGACAAATGAGTTCCTTGTATTGAATTGTTTATTGCAAGTCTTGGATATAGCCAAAGAGTAGTCCAGAATGGTAGAACTGATAGTTCTTCCCATTACACAAGAGTATAAACTGGTTTCAATTTATTGAAAGGGCTCTAAGGTTTATTCCTGGGATGGAGTCATTCTATGATTTTTCAAAAGCAACAAGATGACATTTTCCCAGTCATCTTCATAATGCATAGCTAGAAGGAGTGAGATAAATTGGTATATACACCCTTGACCCTAGAATGGACCTTACTAGAGCCAATAGATTTGGGTGAAGAGAAGTCTTCTCTTGTGAGCTAATGAAGTGGTCAGATTGTCTCCAGCCACATCAGAGTTAAAAAAGCTATATCCACATATTAGAGCTCTGAATAGTCCTTCACTTTTAATTCTTACCAGAATCATCTTCATACTCAGGTAAGGTAGTGCTTTCAAAAAGGCCTTTTTTGCCAGCAAGTTTGATTATGTGTTCACATTCCTCATCGCTTAGAAATTCTGGTATTTCTAGAAAGGCAAACAACAATAATGATATCAAAAGGGTACACCTAAAGAGAAATTATTAAGGCACAAGGTTGGGAATTAGCATTGAGGATCAAACAAACCTAAATTGCCTGTAGGGTTGCAAGATGATGATTCACAGAAAAATGCAGAGATGTAGTTAAACTATGGTATAATAACAAAGTCTTACACTAAGACTTTATTACAGTGACTTCAAATGCAAACCCTAATATTTTGACTGGATTTGATAGAGCCTGTGAGAAATTCCATTGTGATTGGTTTGGTTTAACCTAGCCACACCAACAGGCACATTTTGAACCTTAATGTCTTACTGGCACATTAGTTACAAATCATTGCTTAATGGTTAGTGATAAAATTGTGATCTTGTGATCATTACTTACCAAAAAGAAGAGGTTTAAGGCTTTTAGTAATTAACTGGTGTACTCTGCCTTCCACCAATTTTACCTCCTGAACATGTCCCACCTTTTACAAATTCAATAAGAGAGGAAAGAAGAAAAAAATCGTGTTCTGACCAAATTATTCCAAAACTAGCTAGTTTCAGAAGTTGACAAATATGCTTCTGTTGGGAACCTCTGTACTGTCTGTAATAAATCTTTTCATAATTTCAGCTCTGATGAGTTACTGTTAAACTAAGCAGTATCTCCCAATTGATATAAACCCTCTTCGTGGCATACACCTATACAGGTAAGATAAAAAGTACTCCCCCGCCTCGAAATAAATATCTTGGTATCTTACTGATAGAGAGGTAAATATACGTGATATTTCTCATTCCTTAAAAATCAAATCCATGGATAAGGCAAATATATATTTTTTCAATTGTTTATGTTTATGTAGCTACATCTTTTCTCGATCAAAACTCAAAATTTCATTTCACCTCAACACCATCCAGCATAAAAAGGTTTGGATGTGCAGCATCTACTTCCGCCAAATTGCAATCTTCAGTTTTCGCAGAACAGGTCTTGGAGGCAAGAGATACCACGAAAAATCCATCGTGGGAGATTAGTTGGGTAAATATGGTTACAACAACCAGCAGTGATCGAGACATCTCTGCGGGTTAAACAAATAAAATCAGCATCGAGAGAAAACATCATAATAGACAAGTTTTTACGAGTTACGTGCACTCGTTTCCACCTCTACCAATTTTCTGGGAGAGGAAACTGGGAACCAATAGATCTACAGTCATGTAGCATGTCCTGCTCCGTCATGCAAAGGTTTTTGCCCGCGCTCTAATAAGCGCCCCCTCCCCCAAAGAAGTGCC